TAAAAGTTAAAAAAAATCAGTGATTGTTTTAAAGTACTTTGCAGTCATTTTCTCAATTGAACTTCCAGCGGAAAAGCTTTGTAAATGCCTGATGTTTCCATGAGAAAGGGGAGATGAGACAAAGCAGTTTGTATTATGACATTGCCTGACAGGAATGCCATCCTTTAACATGGTTTTATTTAGTTATTACACTATCTCTCTGTAAATGGCATTTAGGATTATTTAAGATTATGTTGTAATCCTTTTAATCCTTAGTGCTTTAAATTTCAGGCTAAACACTGAAGAGCAAACTAGCACTTAGCAAGAATGTTTAAAACATGTGATTTGAAAATCAATCTTTTAATTCACTCTTTCTCTGATGAAGACCTAGGGTTGCTCTTAAGTTAACTAAGAAAACTCGTACCACAGTTCATTACAAATCACTCAGTTCCTAAATATTTTCTCAAGCTACATCAAACTTGTGATGGTCCTTGACAATTATGCTAAATGCGGAATTAAACAAAAGTTAGCAGCAATGAACATTTACTAGTTTATCTTAAAAACTGGTATAACCTTTTATAAGTACAAAGTGTCTTTCTGTGTTTGGTCATATGTGTGGAAATGGTCACTGTTTCCTAAGGTCAAGCTATTAGATGTGGGTATATACATAGATGCACATATACTATACTAGAAGCCTGTTGCATAAAGATTCACGCAATAGGCCTTCCTTCCCCTGGCTGCTGGCACCGGTTTTCCTCCAGCACCCAGGACCCGGGCCTTTGGTTCGGCCGCAGCAGAAGAGCCAAGCCTCTTCAGTCTTCAGTCTTCAGTCTTCATCAATCTTCACTCCAGCCAGAGCCTTCAGTTTTCACTCCATGCCTGCATATGCAAATTAACTGCCATCTTTGTTGGGTTAATTTGCATATTTGCTCTGATTGGCTGGTGGGTGTAGCGGAGTGACACCAATTTGCATGTTTCTCTTTTATTGGTGTAGATAGATAGATATGCATATATATATGTGTGTGTGTGTGTATATATATACACACACACACATATATATATATACACACATATATATATATATACACTTTTTAAAAATATATATTTTATTGATTTTTTACAGAGAGGAAGGGAGAGGGATAGAGAGTTAGAAACATCGATGAGAGAGAAACATCAATCAGCTGCCTCCTGCACACCCCCTACTGGGGATGTGCCCACAACCCAGGTACATGCCCTTGACCGGAATTGAACCCGGGACCCTTCAGTCCGCAGGCCGACGCTCTAGCCACTGAGCCAAACCGGCTACAGCTATATATATATACTTTTAAATTGATTTCAGAGAGAGAGGAAAGGAGAGGGAGAGGGAGAGGGAGAGGGAGAGGGAGAGGGAGAGGGAGAGGGAGAGGGAGAGGGAGAGGGAGAGGGAGAGGGAGAGGGAGAGGGAGAGGGAGAGGGAGAAGAAGAAGGTGGGAGAGAAGCACCACTGGGTTGCCTCCCAATATGCCCTGAGCAGAGATTGAAACCACAACCTAGCTATGTGCCCTGATCAGAATTGAACCCATAACCCAGGGGTCCTCAAACTTTTTAAACAGGGGGCCAGTTCACTGTTCCTCAGACCGTTGGAGGGCCAGACTATAGTTTTTAAAAAAACTATGAACAAATTCCTATACACACTGCACATATCTTATTTTGAAGTAAAAAAACAAAATGGGAACAAATACAATATTTGTATTTGCATGTGGCCCACAGGCTATAGTTTGAGGACCCCTGCCATAACCTTTTTGGTGTATAGAATGACACGCCAACCAACTGAATCACCCAACCAGGGCAGTACACATATACTTTTAAACACATAATATGGCTTGTCTGCATATACTTCATTATAGGTGTTGCTAACAATTTTTAAAAAATGTATCGTTTATTATTAAGAAGTAACAATTGGGCCAAAGAGTGTTGTTATAAAATGCATTCTTTAACTCAGCCAGAAAGAATTATTCTGAGTTACTGAGAGTTGTTGAATACCAAGCCTTAATACTCAATGTTGTCTCTCTTATTTTGTCATGTACCAATCAATAAGATTGAATCTATATCAAGAGTTGAATACAACTTTGAATATGAAGGAATTTTGGCTTCTAATACAAAAAGAAAATGAACAACTCAAATGTCCAAATGGCATGTACAAAAGAACAAAATAAATGAAACCCTTACCTTTTTTTTGGTCACCATTGTGTGCATCTGAGTCTTTCAAACATATCTCAGGCACATAATTTTCTGTTTGTTTTCCTATTCATTTTAAGTTTGACTTCTCTGCAGACACTGTAATTATGTAGCATATAACTACTAATCCATCAACTTTTCAAGGACAGATTTCAAATTTTAAATTATTTCTAATTTTTCTCATCTTTGATTTTTCTTGAACCAAAACTCTCAATAGCCATTTGCTATCTGTAATCTATAATTCATGGACTGAGATTGAGCACCAAGCCTAATTCAAAGTTGGAAGTCTAAAGCTATTTCTGAGTAGCACATCAGCCAAAGCTATGATGGTCTCCTTCAGACAGGAAGAAACACTTCATTACTCTGTAGGTAATGAAACCCTTGCACACGCACACATTCAAACATCCAACAATGTCTTAATACCATGTTTTTGAAGTATAATCATGTTTATTCTGATCATTTGAGAGTTAGACCAGCTAATGTATCTAATCAAATATTGATGCAAGTCATCTAGATTTAGCTCTCTGGCAAATCCTTCCCAATGCTTTTCTGTTAACAGGACTATAAAAGCTATTTATATTGTTTTTCTCAGAAGGCATACATCCATAGTCTGCATCTACGACTACCTATTAGTAAATCTGACTTAATCTCATGTGTTTAGATGACAAAAAGATTTCAGCATGTCCAGAAAAATCACATGATTCACCCCGAAAAGAAAAAGCAGACAAGGAAATTTGGATCTTCTGTTAATTATGTTCACAACATCCTTATAGTCACCTCTTAGACTAAATACAACCAGACAAAAAATAAAAGATAAAATGGATGTAAGAACACTGAGGTCCCAGGAACTGCTCAGGTACCTTACAGACAAAACTAGGTGGCAAGATTGTCACCTCCAAAAAGTGACTCAAAGTGAGAATAGTTTTTAATATATTTGGAAATACCTATATTCAGAAATATGAAAAACAAGTAAGAGATGGTTTTTCATGTTCAGAAAAGGTTAGGATGATGCATATCATAAATATAGGTAGCTTAAATGTCTGTTTTTTAAAAATTTATCTTTATTGTTGAAAGTATTACAGATGTCCACCCTTTTTTCCCATTGACTCCCTCCACCCAGAACCCTTTCCTCCTAGGTCTTCACCACACTGTTGTTTGTGCCTGTGGGCTATGCATACCTGTCTATCTATGTTTTATGTTCTTATCTATGTAAAATTATACATAAATATTTTTCATCAATATTTGCAGCCCTATATATATCATATGTATATCTGACTATCATCTTTATTTGTAATCTAATTTAATTCTTCATAAGATAAACAGAAGGAACTATAAAAAGGCTGCTTTAGCCCAACTTTAAGAGTTTCTGTTGTTCAAGAATTATATCTATGTCAAACTTTTGTTTTTATTTTATAACATTGATAACTAGGATGCTAAACTCACAATACAAATAAAACTCAACCACTCAGCTCACACAATCCAGTTCAGAATTAGTCATACTGACCACCTGTGTTGTCATAGAGGCTAGGATAATAACCTCTAATTTTTGTTATTTATGGCGAAATAGCACAAAGAATAAGAAATTGACCCACAATTCCTTATTTTAAAACAAAATTTATTTTTCCTCTTGATTCTGAAAATGCACATTCTAATCACGTTTGGCTTTAGTCTTGATTTCTAGGCAAGTATGTTTAGCTTTTCATTCTTTCTTTTTTGTTCTTTTTTTTATAAATAACATTATCATATCTAAGGGAATACCTAAATAGAATAATACTAGGACCAGAAAAATAATTTATTCTAAACATAATTTATTCTCAGGTAACCATATGAGGTGATGGATGTGTTAACTAATTTTAATAGTTAAAAGTGATTTAAAAAATTAACCTGGGTCAAAATTTTTTGGATAAAGCTGAATTAGCATCTGAAAAGTACAGAACAAACTAGAAACCAGTTATTTTTCTCTAGTTAGAATTCAGATAGAAATGTCACCAAACTATACTTCTATAAGACCCAATATATTAATTTCATTGATGCATTTAAGAAGAGAACTGATTTTTCTTCAAGAGTCAAAATATTCTTTGAAGACATTTAATATATTAATTATAATAATCCACTTTCTTGGATACTAAATTATATAAATTATAAAATATACCCATAAAGCTATTGGTTACTTTGGAATATAAAAATGAATTAAACCTCACATAAAATAGAAAAAGATCAACCTCCATAATTTAAAGTTATTAATTGCCAAAGGGATTTTAGTAACATCATCTGTTAAATATTAAGTTTTTCCATTTACTATTTTTCACTACTTTCATCTGTTCTTTCCATTCAATGAAACATGATTGAATTATTAATAACATTTATTTGTCCAAAAATTCTAATTATGCAATATGATAAGGTCCAATTTTTATAGCTGTTCAGATCTCTATATCCCCCTAAAGCACACTGGTAAGTGTAATTTATGACAAGATGGGAGAAATGACAATGAATGCAAATAGTTTATTATAATTAGTGAATCTTACTTATGTATGTCTGAAAGCTCTACAAATCTAAGTCAAGCATTCTAGGTTTGAACCCCAAACGTCTAGCACATACATTGTAAAATTCAATGACTTTTGAATTTTGAATGACAACAAACAAATCAAAATTCAACAGAAGAAAAGGAGTCGGTTTTTTCACAATGACTTTTGCACAACTAGTTGCAAATGAAAATGTCGCAACAAGGTAGTCTTATTTTGATTACCTAGATACCTCAGATTCAGAAGGAACAGGGATAAACTGAATATATGTAACGCTCTTACCTGAAAGACATTCTTTCTGCTTGATTTTTCCTTGGTCCACTCAATATGTGCTCCACACAAATCCACACTTTCTGGTTTGTGCCCAGTTTTCTGTAAATAAAAATGAAATAAGAATAAAAAGCATACAACATTGGTGATGCATGTCAGAAAGAAATTTATTGAGTTAGCAGCTATACATATTTATGATCTAAAGCCTTTCTTTTTTAGTTTCAAAGAGATATCTGAACCCTCATGTTCTTTGCAGTATTATTTACAATAGCCAAGGCATGGAAACAACCTAAGCGTCTATCAATGAATGAATGAATAAAGAAAATGTCACACACACACACACACACACACACACACACACACACACACACACATTCTGCAAAAATTATTCAGCCATAGAAAAGAAGGAAATCTTGCCATATGTGACAACATGAATAAACCTAAATGGTGTGAACTAAGTCAGACAGGGAAAGACAAATACGCCATTATCTCACATATATTTAGAATCTGAAAGATTAAACTCATAGAAACAGAGTGTAGTTATCATGGGTTAGGGAAATGGAGAGTTGTTGGTCAAAGGGTACAACCCTTTAGCTATAAGTTCTGGGGATCAAAAGTACAGCGTAATTAAAATAATTGACACTGTACTGTATGTTTGAAAGTTGCTAAGAGAGTAGATTATAAGGTTTCACATTACAAACATGAACACACAAACACACACACACACACACACACAGGTAACCATATGAGGTGATGGATGTGTTAACTAACTTTAATGTGGTAATAATTTTGCAATATATACAGGGTGGTGCAAAAGTAGATTAACAGTTGTTTGTATAGAAAATAATACAACAATTAATAATAAACTCTGTGTTTTGTGTACTCAGAATTGTAAACCTACTTTTACTCCCCTTGTATGTATTTAAAATCATCATATTGTACACCTTAAATTTATACAGTTATTTGTCAATTACATGCCAATAAAGCTGTAAAAGGAACAAATGTAATCAATATTTCTTAGGTGGCAACTGTGTATCTCAGAAATTTACTTTTCAGATTTTTAAGATTATACACATAAGTATATGTTTATTTGTATTTAAAAAAATTTAACTTAGATCAAGTAGATTACAGCATATGCTTCCTTTTTCCCAGTACAGTGTGGGTGTTACTTAAAAGCTGTTTTACTTCTTTAATTCACAATACTCAATTAATGAGAATATCATTTATACTTGCCTCTTCATATCTTCATTTGGTTCAAATGAATCATACTTATATAAGTTTACATTTGCATAACTCCAAATATTAAGCAAAAGCTTACTAGTTTGTGAAATTTCTTAACAATTTTTAAAGAAAGTGAAGCCAGATTTCAAAGACTCCACTATTTTTCTATGTTCTGAGTTACTCTAGATTTCTCTATAAATGCAGTACTTTTCTCAAACCGTTTGTCATAGAATACAATTTTTGTATATAAGGCTTATGTTATTTTTAGACAATGTTTTTAACAGTATAAACGTTAGGCTCAAACATGAAATTATCAAAGATTGGTAAAAATGTTAAATCTCTGCACAATTGTTGCCTCGTAGCCACTATGATCCATTCTATCAGTTTAATAGAAATAGACTATTTTCAGAAAAAGCCAGAAGTCTGTGTTTTTAGAAATACTAAATTGTGAGGATCTTTTTTGGCAACTCAATAAAATTGTGGGGTTTTTTGAAACATTGTACAATTCAAGCATAACTTTCCTTCCGGATAAATTCAGCTAGCAGGACAGCCACTGATAGCATATCTTTCTTTTGTTATTTGGTAATAATCTCATGAGACTCCAACCAAGATGAGCATGCCCCTTATAGATGCTCAGTTAGTGAAATATTTTTACTGGTCCATACACACTCTACAGCTCAGGTGATCATAATTGTGCAACATATCGAACCATGCAAATGATCATTGTCAAGTGAGTTATGACATGGCAAAGTTACAAAACAACCTGCTTTTTCTTCAGTTAATTAAATTATAGGATACTCAGAATCAACAAAATAACCATTAAGATTATGCAACCAAAGAGATTCCTTTCCCATAGAGTGCAGTCAGGGGAAACAAAGATGGAATTATTTTGTACAAGAAGCATTTTTCATAACTATCCATTTATTTAACCAAACAACTGTATGAGGTAGGTACTGTGATCACCATTTTACAGGTAGGAAAACATTTCAAGGTGGTTAGGTAAACTTTCTGGGTAAAATAGGTAGCAAAGGAGGAGCCAGGATTGAAATGTGATCAGTATCACGCCAGAGTCTGTTCCTAACCACTACGTAGTCCTTGAAAACGGAATTTACACTACAATCATACTTATGTTAAAACATGTCATATTTTGGGGAAAGATGCCTTTCATACTATAATACAGACATATTGATGTGGTTTCTCTCCTTCTCTGTTAAGTTTGATCTTCCCATGAGAAGATCTTCCCACCGCTTTACCTGGAATACCTCCCAATCTTCACATGGCTGACTTTTATCCATCAGATCCCAACCAAATGTCACCTTGTCAGAGGTCTTCTCTGACTGTCATATAGAAGAGTGGCATTTCAGCACTCCTGATTACTCTCTATCTCACTACTTGTTTCAATTTCACCACAGCCCTCCTCCTCGCTGAAATTAACATATATATTTTTATACGCTGTCTGTTCTCCCACTAGAATCAAACTCCAGGAGCCAGGGCCTCCTTTGCCTTTTCCTCCACTATTTTCCCCAATGTATGGAACAGTGCCTGGCACATAGCTGTTGTTCAATGAACATTTGCCGAACTCATGAATGAAGGAAAAATACCAAAATGCAGCTAGCTTTTGTGCCTTCAAAGGAAGGTTTGGGTGCCTTAAAATTACCTATTTGACAACAATTAAAATTTGTATTTGGTTTAATGGTTAAACACTTTTTGCTTTGTGATTTGGAAAAGTAATAACCAGCTTAATGGACTCATATGGATTAAACCTAGGGTTTCCCAGAATCACTCAATAAGCATTTATTGCATATCTATCATGTGTCAATGTACCAGCCACTCTACATTGGGTGTATCTCAATGCAAACTCTGTCCCCTCCTGGTGCTCTTTCAGGACCTTGCTCCATCCTTATGTTCTTCATGAGCTCACTGCTTCACCTGCTCTCCACTTTAACAATCTTCTATCAGCTGCTCATCTAACAAATTCCGCTTTCTGAGTTTTCCTCACTCCCATCCTATTATGTTGCTTTTGATATTACTGGAGCAGCAGACCTTTGTGCATTCTCCCAGACTCTCAGGCTTTTCCTGGTTTCACTTCCTTTCACATTCAGGCCTATGTCCCTGATTCAGCAGCCACATCAGCCTCTCTCCCCATCAGTGTCAGTCTGTCTGTCTGTGTCTGTCCTGCATTCAATGATCCATTCCTCTCTTTCATTCACTTTTTATTGTTATACAATCTTCCTTGTGCTCCCTAATTCTGGAAAAATAACTTTTGACTACTCAGTATAATAACATTACAAATAATGACTGCTTTCTTCAAATAGGCTTTTGTCTTTACTTAGCAAAACTTTTTTTTATTGTTATGATAAGGACATTTAACATATCCATGAAACCATTGCCAAGTCTAATGTCATGAAACTTGGCAAACTTTTTATGTGTTCCTGGTCACAGTCTCATAACACTGTTCTCTCTTTCAAATGAGCCCATCAAATTTTCCCCTAATTCACAGAGGTCAGCCCTGGTGTTAGAACACTCACAATTCTTCCCACTTTCCTGGTTAGCCTGTGTGATCAAAATGAACAAACCAACCAAAATAAACTTTGATAAATTCCTATACGTCTTGCCCTCTGAAAGTTTTATATCAATTTCTCATGTATTCTTTACAACAATGTGAAGTTATTATTGCCTTAACTTACATGTGAAGAAACTCAAGCAGGGAGTGGGCAAGTGCCTTACATAAGCTCCCACACTTAATCAGTGTCTGAGCTGAGGTATGTATTCACTTTTTTCTGACTCCAAGACCCAAGTTCCTAATCACAACATATCCATGGGCTCTTTCCTACATCTACCCTTTCCTCCTACTAACTCCCTTTATGCCCTTTTTAAGTCCAAAAATAAAAGTTCACGTTTCTTATTTCCTCGTTCTGCTATCATTTCTCATTCTCCCTCTTGGCTCCCAGAATTATGAATGTGGGTCTGTGACTCTGGTCCACCTATCTAATGAACTTCCATGCTTGGGATAACAGCGGCATATGCAAACATTAAAGTATTGGGCCTGTTGGTGCTGTCCATTGCACAGACAACTCACAGGCATGTCCTGTTTTGTCTCAGAGGAAATGAGGCACAAGCTTTTCTTTGTTTGTTTTTTGTATGTTTTTTTCCTTCTAGGTCCTAACTCTATACCAGCTTATTCTGTTAAGGGCACAAATAGAATATTGGAGACTAGCTATAGTTATAAGAAATATTGATCATGTTCTTTCAACCTTGACTGCTTTGTTCTCATTAAAGAAAGCACATTCTAACCTGGCTAGGAGTTGTATGCCCCTTGGACCTATCAGGCATCTTCTTCCAGATTCTTCTTTCACCCTTTATCCCCTTCCTTCTCTGTTGTTATTATTGTTGTTGTTGTTTTCACTGACTTGTAAATGCTGGCAATCCTTGGCTTACTATTCTAGGCCTTCATTATTCCTCATAGTCTACACACTTCCTATGGGTTTTAGATTTGCCTGTGTCTGATCCATTACTTATAACATGTTGACTCCTTCAGCGTTCTTCTGAACCTCAGCTCCTTCTTATGTGGCAGAACTATATTTTCTAACTAAGTACTGAGAAAATTAATAAACAGAAAATTCATTTAAAATGGAGTCAGGAGGCTAGAAGGGAGAACTCTCACAGGTGTCACTCAATGCACACAACTGACCCCAACAGGAAGAGACTCATCTTGCATCTCCAGCAGGAGGAAGAAAAGATTCCTCCTTGTTCAGTAACAGCTCAGCCAATAAAAAGTCATTACACTTACCATTTGTGACAGCCTGGATGGACTTATGCAAAGTGAAATGGGTCAGATAGAGAAAGACAAATACCGTATAGCACTTATATGTGGAATCCAA